TACACTACTGTGATTCACGGGTTTGGGGTGGCGGGTGAGGTCAAGAAATCTCGTAGGGTTTTTGATGCGATGGTGAAGGAGGGTGTGGATCCTAGTGTCGCCACGTGTAATGCGTTGATTCAGGTTTTGTGTAAGAAGGATAGCGTGGAGAATGCGGTGGTGGTTTTTGAGGAGATTGTGAGGAAGGGGTTGTGTGTGCCGAATGTGGTTACTTACAACATTGTTATCAGAGGTTATTGTCATGTTGGGGACATGGAGAGGGCATTAGGGTTTATGAGTAGAATGGGGGAACATGGTTTGAGGTGTTCTGTTCAGACTTATAATGTTGTGATTAGGTACTTTTGTGATGCTGGGGAGATTGAGAAGGGTTTGGAGATGTTTGAGAAGATGAGGGACGAGCCTTGCTTGCCCAATTTGGATACTTACAATGTTCTGATCAGTGCCATGTTTTTGAGGAAGAAATCGGAGGATTTGGTGGTGGCTGGGAAATTGTTGATGGAGATGGTTGATAGAGGGTTCTTGCCGCGGAAGTTTACTTTCAATAGGGTGTTGAATGGACTTGTTATTACTGGGAATCAGGATTTTGCTAAGGAGATTCTGAGAATGCAGAGCAGGTGTGGCCGTATTGTTCGGCGTTTGAAATTGTGAGATTTTCAATAGTTGGGTTTGGTAAGTTGTTTCCTTTTCTGGCGTTATTGTTTTTTGTTCTTGAGATCATATTGATCTATGCTTATTTGCTTCATTTGTGCTGATGTGTAATGTATGTACTTGCAGGAACACAACCCACATGTTTTTTCAGCAGTTGAAAGTGCATGGTGCATGGTATTGGAGAGCATGTTCCTCATTCTGTAATTTGGACGAAGTTTCTGTGATCTAGTGTGGGGAACTCACTGGTGGATGATGAACCCACCATTGCTGAAAATCTTGCTTTCAGGGTCTTCTCATCCAGGTTCGTTTCATTATTCCATTTTGATTTCCTTTTTTCTATTTTTGTTTTTGAACAAATAATTAATTTAAGTGTCGAACTCAATGTGTTTCTGACACTGTATGTTGAATTTCAGTTTCATTGATTCTTCTAACCTTGGTATATTTCAAGTTTCAATGTGACATGTTGCTGAAAAAGTTATATTTTATGAGCATTTTTCTCCCATGTTATCCCAAGATCTGCATATATAATACAAGGGTATGGACTTGGTTAATTGACAGAGATTACGTAGATATTTTTTAACAAAATCGATATGTGAAAACCTAGACGATTGTCAGTGGTTAGAGGGCACTTGCAAAATGGGCAAAAATGGTTGCAAATTTAAGTGGCTGACAATGTAGTTAGTTATCATGTGGCCATGAGTTACTGTTTTTAAACTAAAATTTTAGCTGATGTAGGTTATAGGTGCACCATTTGTTGTCACCGTGATTTTTTTTCAACTTTCATGGTAGTCATGTTTTAGATTTAAAGAAAGCTGGAAGGTTGAAAGGTTTATAGTTAATGTTGTTACTATTTAAGAAAAAAGTTGCATATATAAGAGCTTGTGTGAAGATCAGAGATGTTAGATATGCAAATAACTCCACTTTGAGTTTGAAATTCTGTTTTAGAGGACATAAATTGAATGAAGAAGAGATAAATTGCCCAGATGAATGTGCATTTAGGGACCTATCTGGTTATAAGCTTGCTTGTTTAGAAGATTATATACCTTTTGCTCTACAATATAAAAAAGATATTGAAGGCCAAAATTCACCATTATTCATATTAATCAATAGGTTGCTAGTTACCCGAATTTTAAATTTTACTACAAGTTAGCCAACTATGAGTGAGTGCTAAGCTAGTGTCTACAATTTGATCCTATTTGAGGCCTGAAGATGCCTAAACATTGAAATCTATTGCCTGCAACAGCTTTGCTGCATTGGGTTGATGCTACAAGATTGGCTTGACATTTTCTGGATGAAGAGGTAAGGATGAATTCTGAGTTTGGTCACTCTAGCATGTTGAAAAAGATGAGCATATGGGTCTTGTTGACTCCGACCCGGCCAAATTTAACGGAATAGGTCGGCCGGTTCGGCCGGCTTTCAACCTGACTCTGGGAAACTTGTTTATGCATGAACAATGCTTAACAGGGGCCAATTTTGTTGCCCGTTTTGGTTCCTTCAAGCATACACAGAATTCACCAATTGCTTTTCATAAGAGTTCTGCAGATGATCCAGTTGCACCATCCTTCAGAATATAGGTGGATTCTTTAATACAATAGCTGTTATTGTCACTTTCTTTTGCCAGTACTCCATTGTAACTTGGAATAAGCTTCATCAATCTAATATTGCGTAATTGCCTTTGCAGGGATGATGTTGGGCAAGATAATGATGGAGCTCTTTAATCAACGATTCATCTTCCTTGCCTCTGATGTAAATTCAACTATTTTTGAATTAAGAGTTCTTTGTAATCTCTCTGTATTATTTGTTAGGAAGAAGTAATTGTGTGGAAATCAAATTGTGGTATTTGATCAAATCTTCAAGTGGAGGGTGGTGGGTGATGACGAAACTATTCATTATTTAATCACCAACATTTGTTAACTAAATTAGACTCTCTTATTATTTTAGACACTAAATTAACCTCTGACACGTTTAAAAACTAAATTAGTCATTTACTTTAATGTATGTGAAAATGTTCTTCTCATGAAACAAATACCCATAAAATTTATAAATTTATTTTACCACAATATATAGGATTTTACAATTCTACAAGTCTTACAGCAAATCACTAATAACCTTATAATGGAAGGTAAAGTTTGTTATGCTAATTGCGAAAGTAATTGGATTTAGCAAAAGAAACTATTGTTTTAAGATATTATTCTTAGATAGATTTATTTTTATAATGTTAAAGTATTTCTTCTTTTCCTCTACTATTTTTCACCTGGTAATTCTACAATTTTGATGATAAGATTTACCAAAATTTATTATTTTCCATGGATAAAGTTGCTAAAAAGATATTGATTGCATTTATTGGTAGGAGAAATATTCCAAAATTAGTTTCGAGTTTAATTTTGTGTTTATACTTTTTAAATTGAATTTATCTTTCAAAATACTTAATTTTAAATAATTTATATTTTATGGTGTAATTTATTAAATTTTGTTTTTTTAAGATAAAATATATTTAATAAAATATATTTACATTAACATTTTATTATGAAAATTTTAATTATACTTAATTTTTTTAATTTATAGTTTAAAGAATTTTTTTTGAACAATTTTATTTAAAATTAGAAAAATAAATAAAATATTTGAATTAAAAAAAATGTATAACAAATTTTTTAGACAAAAGGGATAATCATCCTAGTATCCATCCTCATTCCCTCATTTCTCTCTAGGTTGTATAGATGCATTGTGCTATATAATTAATTTAATTACTCTATTAAAATAAAAAGCCTCATAAACATGGGGAATTTAATTGAAGTAGTGAAGATTTTTGTATTCTAAACACACCATCACAACTTGTCCTAGAAATTGTTGTTCAAGATGACACTTTACTGGTGTGTCGGTTTTGAGAAAAAAAAAATGAGACTTTTCTTTTTTCTTAATTTCGTTTTTCACCAAAATAATACTGATTATGTATTGATTAAAATATCGTTGTACTTTCAATTCAAAATGAAATTTATGAAATTCCCCTAAAAATGTAGGGTTTAAGAAATGTAGGGTTTAAGAAGCTGGATTTAGATAGAAATTTTTCAGTCACAAACAAAGGGCCCAACAAAAAACGCAAGGTTAGTCTGAAAATCAAAAAACCATATGAAATTGTTGAGAGTGGGATTTGAACCCACGCCCTTTCGGACCAGAACCTTAATCTGGCGCCTTAGACCAACTCGGCCATCTCAACTTGATATTATTTATTTCTATCCTTTAGATAATATATTAAACTCAATTAGTTTTCAATTAGCCATGATGATACTTTCTTTACCAGGGTCTACTTTATTGATAGACGAAAACAATGAAAAAGATTTAACATTTCAATATTTATTGATATATGATTTTCCAAAATGAGATTTTAATTATATTGTAGGATTTTCTTTTGCGCATAATAGGTATCGGTTGATTTAGTTCATACAATAATTTTATTCTTCTTTGATGATGAAAGAAAGTGAAGCTTATAAGAGGAAAATATCTTGAATCCAAGTTGGACAAATAATTCAACAAATTTAGGTGTGTCTTTTCGGTCTTGTTTAATCCAGCATCCAATGTTGTTAACAAATCAAGTTAGTAATAATAATTAATTATTTATGGTACATTGTTCTAATTGTAAATATTAGGTTTATAATTTTCTAACCTTTTTTTTTTTCCTTTTCTCAAATATGTTTGGAAATGGTGATACTTCCATCCATTTTTTTCATTTCATAAATTAAGAGTTTTTTTTAGAAGTGGTATTATGATTAGGATTTGAGAAAATTCATCATTCTATGATATTGCAAACTCAAACTATATTTCATCCTTAAAAATGTAATCATAATTCAAATTAGTAGTTATAAACACTTTCACAGTTTTATTGTTTTCTTTTATTTTTGTGTAATCACTTACTACAAATCTGTTTAAAATATCATTAGGTTACCTTGTCAATTCATAACTGAAGAAAGATCTAAGAATTAAAATTCATTCAAATTTGAATGCCGGTAAAACAAACTCCCTTTACTCATTCAAATTCACAGGGAGAATTGTATCACTTTTGGTTTATGATTATTTTTTTTGGGATAAATTAAATACTAATTTAAATTTTAATAAGGTTCAAGATATCCTAATAATGGTTTAAAATACATAATGTTGAATGCAAGAATAAATAATAATAAATATTAATTAATAATGTAATTGTTTTGGGATTTATGGTCCAAAATAACGTTCAATGTTGTTTTTAATTTCAAATTTTTTTGTAATCATTTGTTTAAACATTTGGGAGGATACGAACGCACTTAAATGTCAAATTTAGCTTAATATTTGATAGTTGAAATATTAATAGCATGGTAAATGCATTTTTAATTAATAACGACCTATTATAGTTTGATGGTTAATAATCACACTTTATCTTTAAGTAATTTAGTATTAAAGTTAATAGTCTTGACCATTAATTAATCGATTTGACTTTTCAATTCGGATAGTTGTTTATTTGTACGTTTCAATGACAAATTAACTGTCCAATCTATAACTGATTGAACAATTATATAATACTGTAATCAAAATAAAAAAAAAAACAAAAGTGATAAATACAATAATTTGTTAGGTTGGATTTGAGACGAAGACAAACTAAATATATAAATCAAAACATCCTTTGAAAATGTATTAAATCCTTAAAAGTGGAAGCATGATTTAGCATTCTAACTAACACTCCACTAATTACATAGAAATGACAAATGTGACCATCATCTAACTACATTAAATTCAGAAACACCAAAATTTGAAAGAAGCATATGATTTACTCTTTTAGTCTATAATCCATTAATTACATGGAAAAGAAAACGGGACTCGTTGACTCTAAGTTCAAAAGTGGAGCAACAATTTCTTTATCTTTTACAAAACCATGAGCTGTATGAAAAATGGAATATCTTCTATTTCAAATGCATCAATCATGGTTAACTTTATATTACATATGTTGCGAAGTTTTTAAAACTATACATGAGAGAGATTAATGTTTTTAAATTACGAGTTGTTTATACAAAATATTTAATGTTATTTTCAATGATTAATCTTTATGATTTTTTTAGCGACTATATGTTTAATATAAGAATTTCAATTCATAATTATATTTCTGAATTAAATATAAGTAAGATAGTAATACATCATGATTTGGAAGTATTTATGTACAATAAATACGTTTACTACTTAATTTATCAACTTACTAATAGAATTATCCTCTCTTTAATTGTTCGTTCTCAAAACTTATTTTATGATTGGGTGAGATATATTGAAAATGGACTATTTTAACGAGTATCATTTTAGTCTTTCTCCTCCTTAGGAGTAAGGGTTATTAAAATTAGTAATTTCTAACAAAATTTGATTCCATCATAAAAATGGTTTTAAATTGTAAAAAGTTTGTTAAGTAAATATGTTTTGTAATTAAGGTTACGATTATGCTTGCATTTGGTACAGTGATATGTCTTTAAAAATAATATATGTTGTAGAAGATATTTTTATTTTGAAATATATATATATATATATATATATATATATAAAGAAAAATGTAACTGAACATGAAATATAAAATATTTATAATATTTTGATCTTAATCTAAAATAATAAATAATTTCTAAGAAGGAACATATTATTAAAACTGAAATGTTTCCTAAGAACTAATTTAAAAAAAAATATCAAGTAAATATTATCAATACTTTCTAGGTTAATCTTGAAGTCAAGACTATTTTTGGAATGTACAATTAAAAAATAAGAATAGATTCTAAAAATTAAGGAAGATTAAAAAAGAGATTATACAATTTCAAATTATTTGATTTTGAATTTCACAATTTGAAAGTTATTAGACTTGGCATGAGAGCATCTAATTTGAAAGTTAAAATATTTTCGAATTAAACAATTCAAAAAGTCTTTTTAGAAAAAAAAATTAATTATGCGATTTGAAAATTATTTTTATTTTTCGGATTGTATAATGTAGAAATATTTTTTAATTCTAAATTGCATTATTCAAAAGAATGCAAGAAGAAAATTTGTTTAGATAGGAGTGCAGAAAGAAATATACGGAGGAAGAAACTGACTTTGTGGACAGCGGGTTGGGCTTGGACCGGTAAGGTCTTGAGCTTATGAATTTTAAGTTTTACCATGTTAATCAAATTGAAAAAAAATGGTTAATATTTAAAATTTATATTCTTTATATGTACTAAGTGTTTCGAATATTTTTTTTATTATATAATTTTTTTATTAAAATATAAAATGATTTTTAATTATTAAAATAAAAATATTAATAAACTGTAAACTAATTTTTATAAATTTTATTAAGAATAATGATTAATTAAAATGATAGTTATTAAAAAGGTAAAGTTGAAAAATAATATTTTTATTATACATAATTATTTAAATTTTAAAAATTCATTATTGAAAGAATAAATATGAAAAGAAAAATTGTGCATTGAGTCTCTTTTATTATTAGAATAAATAATATATATTGTGGTTGTAAAAGGGGAAATATTATCTACACGGAACTTTTAATACTACTACAAATTGAAGTATTAATGATTTAATGGGTGGAATAATGAATCATGTCGTCATGCATGTAAAAATATGCTACTAACGTAGTCATTGAGTCATTTTTATGATTGTGTGGCTAGATCAATAGTCAAACAATCAAACTACCAAGAAATTATCTTTATAAACTAATTAACTTAACACAAAATATGAATATGATAAAAGAATAGGTAATGATATTTAATATATATTAATTGTTTGAAATATTATATATTTATAGATTTTCACATCAGACTACTTTTTACTGCCTAACAGTAAAACATTTT